GGGGAGAATGCAGCGATCTTGGAGGGAGACATTGCCGTGGCTCGCTGGGAAGCCAGGTCAGGCGTGGGGCTCCTGAGCGTGCCTAAGGGCCGGCGTGGTTTCTTGTCGATTATGTAAAAAGCAGGGGGTTGTTGATTCCTTTGAAATTCAGCCCTGACGCTACCCAGGCACCAGGCGCTGTGGTCAGCTTGGCTGGGCTGAAGCACGAACACGTCTGTCGGGGTTCGGTGGCGTTGGGTGTAAGTCAGCTCTGCCAGCTCTTCCTTCGGCCGGCAGCTTTTCGGATGCTTAAAAGTACCTGACTGGTGGATTCCGAGGCGTACCGTTTCCCAGGACGGTCTTTGGGGTAATAACCGTCTGGGAAACCTTCTTTCGGTTGTCATTTCTTCCCATTTGTCTTGTGTGTCTTTTGTTGTGGTTTATCTGGTGGAACATTGTTGGTTCCAGGTGAGAAGAGAACTGTTGGTTTCTAGGATTGCCACAGTCAATATGTGAATTTAAGGAAATGATCGGAAATAATAGGTTTGGCCTCGAGTCTTGCCTTGCTGCTGGTTAGTAGTGAGCTTGTAAGAAATGAGAAAGCCGGGGCTGGGCGCGGTGACTCAAGCCTGCAATCCCAGCCCTTTGAAGGCGGAGGCGGGCAGATGGCTTGAGTCCAGGAGTTTGAGACCAGCCCAGGCAACAAGGTGAAATCCCGTGTCTACTAAAAATACTAAAATTAGCCAGGCGTGGTGACCGCGTGCCCGTAATCCCAGCTAAGGCATGAGAATAGCTGGAACCCGCGGGCGTAGGTTGCAATGAGCCGAGGTTGCGCCACTACGCTCCAGCCTGGGCTGTAGACAGAGACCCTGTCCGCCCCCCGCCCCCCAAAAAAATGAGAAACCTTTTGAGGTAAGGCCAAGAAATAATGTAATAATGAATATTTATATATATATTGATTGCCTACTACCTACCAGGTACTGCACTAAGCATTTTATGCATTAACTCAGTTTATCCTCATAATAACTCTGTGAGGATTGTACTTGTAGCAGAAGATCGAGAGCATGGAATCCAGAACCGCACTGTCTCAGTTCAGGTCCTGGACTAAGCATTAAATTAAATTAATTAATTATTTGAGATGGAGTCTCGCTCTGTTGCCCAGGTTGGATTGCAGTGATGTGATCTCGGCTCACTGCAACCTCCGCCTCTCGGGTTCCAGCGGTTCTTCTGCTTCAGCTTCCTGAGTAGCTGGGATTACAGGCGCCCGCCACCACTGATGGCCGGCTAATTTTCCTATTTTTAGTAGAGACAGGGTTTCACCATGTTGGCCAGGCTGGTCTCAAACTCCTGACCTCAGGTGATCTGCCCACCTCGGCTTTCCCTACAGGCGTGAACCACCGCACCCGGCCAGCATTTTGTATATTAACTCAGTTTATCCTCATGATAAGTCTGGGAGGGTTGTACTCCTAGTGATGGACACCGTGAAATCCAGATCCACACTGTCTCAGTTCAGGTCCTGCCTCTGCCACTTTGTAGCCATGTAACCGTGGGCAGATGATTTCCCAGTGCCTCATCTGTAGAAAGGTGGTAGTAATTAGTATTTATCACATAGGGTTGCTGAAAACATTAAATGAGTCAGAAGGCATATGTGAACTGCTTAGAACAGGACCTGGTATACAGCACTGTATCTTTCTACGTACTCGATATATATGTATGTGTCTGTATATATGCCTTTATTTTTCTACATACATTTTATATATATGTGTATCTGTCTGTATGGCTTTATTTTTATACATACGCTATATATATGGGTATGTCTATATAGGCCTTTGTTATTTTTCCACATACACTATGTATATGTGTGTGTCTGTATATATGGCTTTGTTATTTTATACATACACTGTATATATGTGTGTATGTCTGTATATATGGCTTTATTTTTATACATACATTATATATATGTATGTCTATATAGGCCTTTATTTTTATGCTACACTATATGTGCGTGT